GTTGGAATAAAGATGAATGTATAGGAGAAGGTTTTGCTGGATCTTATACCACTCTCTACACGCCCCCTCAAACGAAAATCAACTCATGGGTTTGAAGTTTGTACAGGCCCAGCATACCATGTGCTTGAAAGACAACGGTTAATATTGGGGGTCGTGAGGACTTGAACACGTGACCTCACGGACAACCAGCTCTAATACCATGTCATAAACCAGTTGGTCCCAATAACTCGAGTTGTTGGGAGAAGATTTTGCTGAATCTTATACCACTCTCTAATACTTTTCGTATTAGCGAAGATAAGCTTAGACTTTGGGGAGAGAAGAACAAGGTATTCCGCGCATAGTTTGGTAGGAGTTCTCGCCAAGGTTGTAAGGTTCTATGAAGTTTTGTCATGAGGAAGGGAAACAGGGCCGGAGCTACAGCTTGTCTCGGGCCCCTCTGAGAATTATAAAAGTTACGTGTAAACTTTACGGTCGCCTTAAAATTTTCGTATAAACTAATGGAATATTATAAGTTGTTAAAGGCGCAATGAGATAACATACTAAGAGCTGTAGCCTAACGTTTAAGGAGTTTAGCATTCATGGCAGGTCGGATGTTGGGTGTTTCAAGGCTTGTTGCCAACATTTTTTATTTAAATGAAACGATTTTGGTAAAACTACATAATTCTAAAGTAGGATGAGTTATACAAGATTGAAATGCATTATTGGTTAGTTTGTTTATTTTCTAATCTATATTGAACTTGTCACAGTAGAAATTGTAGTTTAGTTATAGTTTTGAGTAAAAATACGCCATGTTACACGACAGTCATTTTTCAATTATGAAAATAGAATGTATTACTGTTGGAATGATTATTAATTTGTTTATATCTATTGTAATTTGTATAGAACCTGTCATTCTTTAAATTTTTAGATTAAATAAAAATTTGAGTGACTTTAATCATCTTAAAATGTCGTGATCATAATATTAAAAACAGTTATTTTTAATTACTTAGATAGTTTTAAAATCTTTTTGCGGTAATTGTCCGAAACTCCGACCCCCGAACGTCATATCCTGGCTCCGCCCTTGATGGGAAATGTTGTCGCTCATTCTTTGGCCATCATTCTGTGTTTCTGGATGTCCTTGTCTATAGATACTAGTAAGGAAACCCGCGCTCCGCGGCGGGGAGTTCGTATTGGAAAAATGTGGAGTTTGCTATGGGAATTGACATATTTGTGTGCCCATGAGTAGATTGAGTAGAGAACATCCGATTTAATAAAAAACATATGATTTGTACATGTATAAATTTGCACTGGAATTAAACATTAGGTACATAATATTATTTTGTATTGCAAAGGGGGTGTTGCCATACTAAAGCAGCAGTACATATTAGTTGCTGTCAAATTGATTAATTACTGTTTTGCATTGAATGTGATGTAAAAGAGTGTCATTTGATGATGGTGGGGCAACTGAAAGTTATGTAAATGCTTGTTGGAAGTGGTGGAGATGTTGACATTGTCCCCTTAAAAATGCAGTATAAAAGTAGTGCTAATTAAGGAGCCAGAAGAGTTGGAAAGCAGGATCACATGTTATGCAAGTATTCACAGAGTAGAGGCAATATGGTAGATAGGTGATAGCAAAAGTCTTGCATGTTAACATTTGTTCCCAGACTAATGAAGTAGAAGTTTTTTGTTCGGTAATATCTTAAGACACTTTTTATTTCACAGGTAGGGTATTTTTTCATGGACACCGCTAATCTATGCTGGTGAGAATCCACTGGCGTGGATGATGATGCTGCTGGGTGGGTGATCCGTGTCTGCGTTGCAGTTTGCTTGGGCTGTTGTTGAAGCTGGTTGTGCCCGACTACAGAAAGGATAGTAAACTCCGGGGGAGTATGAGGCAAATATCCAGGCTTAGGGAGTTGAACGTCATAATGAAGCATGCGGAACCAGTACTGTCTCCCACCTCTAAATGGATTTTGTAGCTGGAAAAATGTGTCAGAAATTAAGGGTTCAATTGATTTTGGAGCTCGTAATGGGAAAAAACTGTTTGATGCTAAACTGACCAATTTTGGGTTTCCTGAGGTATCAATTGGCCATGCTCTTCACACCAAAAAGCAGCACTACCTGGAAACTCCGTAGCTGTATTAGAACAAAATGCACATCCTAAGTAAAACCATGGTCGTGAAGACTCTGCGGAGAAAATGTGGCGGAAATGGTTAGTGTAGTATGATTATGGGATCAATTCGAGTTCAATTGTTATAAGTTAATTAATTAGAACCTACAAAAAAGGCTCTGTGGTTAGAAACAAATTCGCAACATCGGGTTAAACTCGCTTTAACTGGGTCGAGGGAATGATGATAAAACTCGCCACAAGATCCCAAAACAGGAACCCAAAACATTTGCAAGGTCGACACAACGAAAAATTTGCAAGGAAAGACCAATCAAACCCGTGTTGAATACGGTTGAATACAATTCGGTAACACAGGGTTCAATTCGCTTTAACCAGTTCGACATTAGGTCGAAAGTAATGGACATCGACTTAAGCTTGCAAAACTCATTGAGCCAAAATTCGTCAACACCGGGTTCAACTTGCTTTAACCGGGTCGATGTAGGTCAAATACTGATTGATTTGGGTTCAATATGGATTCAACGGTCATAATTTAATTAATTAGAACCTTAATGTAAAGAACTCTTCCAAGTTTTGGTTAATTTAATAAATTTAAGCGTGAAAAACTCATTGTTGAGGCAAAATTCGGCAACATCGGGTTAAGCTCGCTTTAACCGGGTCAAAGTAGGCGGAATGTCAATTTATTTGGGTTCAATTTGAATTCAATTGTCATAAAAGAATTAATTAGAACCTTAGTGCAAAAAGGCACCACAAACTTTGGTTAATTACAGAAAGAAACCCCTTGTGAAGGGACACTATGCAATATTAACTTGGCTACTTGTTCTCTTATAGAGATAATAATAATAATAATAATAACTCTGGAAACCGCGTTCCGCGGCGGAAATTTTAAGTTTGCCAACAAATTTAACTACATGTTCATATGTGTAAACTTAGTTGCATCCTTTTATTCCAATTTGATAACAAATGTTGGACACAGATGGTAATAATCTAGTGTAAGTTGCAAGAGAATTGCACTGGAAAGATGGTTACGTGGCTGAGCAATAATTCATTCATGTTTTGCTATGAAACGATAAGCTAAAAAAAATGTAATATCCAAATCGAGCTCTACCTGCATGCTATATCACAAAAGTAACATGGGTAATGTGAATAAAATGCAGAGTCAGTGAAATCGACAAAACAAACTAAACAAAAAATGTAAAAGTAAGACCAAAAGATAATCCTTCCCAAATGAAAGAAGGACACCATTGTCAACTCAGACCTCAACTTTGCACAAACCAGATTCCATAGACTAAATAAATCTAACAAAAAAACACATAATATAAATTATCTGTAAACAGGAAAATCCGAAATTGTAGCAGTCTAAAAGTCACCCAAATCCGTGGAATTTGAGTTTCCCCATTGAATCCTCACTGTTTCCTTGCTCCTGTTCGCCATTCAATGGCTTGTCATTCTTTCTATTTTGGCTTCTTCTTTTGTATCGTCCCCTTCCTCATGAGAAAAGAACACTCATAAGCTATATTCGAAATTGATTTCCACTACTATTTCGTAAAAGAAAGACTGCTAGCTAAATTTAGAATGAGGTTAGTTCAGAACAGGTAAAATAATGCATCATTGAAACCTCTAACAATCTCCCAATCACAAGCATGCTAACACCATCTAACATTGCTAAAAAAAACTCATTTCAATCTCGATCATTCATGTCTATATGATATCCTAGATGCTTAAGGTTGCTAATACGCAGCAAGATAGAATGTTGGGTTCCAAATGGCTAAAAACAACCGAACAAAAATCTTGAAAACAAATTAAACAAAAGAGAGCATAAATTTGCTCCCCTTCGTCCTACCTATGTATCTTGTTTTAGACACTCTTTTATGAAACTGAGGTCGCAAACACTTCTATAATTAATTGGGGTAAATAGCATAAGAGAAAAGAGTTGTACCATCAAGTGGCACAGAGAAATAAAATCAAAATAGCGGGGAATTTAGACACCACCGTCAATCATATTTAGCTAAATTTAAATCCAAGGCATGAAATCTATAATCTAATGAAACAAAACATACAAAGGTACATGTAAAATAAAAAAAGAGGATTGCTTTGATTGTAAAAAGTATTTGATCCAAAGCAACTGTTAGACTGCAAGTCAATCTTTCTTCTGAGTGGCTGCATTAAAAGCAGCTAAAAAACTCGAGAGTTTGGAATCAGAACACTACCTTGGGTTACAACATTTATGGAAACTGGATAAATCAACTCTGCTCATGCATCTCAGATCCATTAACACCAAGGCACGCCTTAACAAAGAACAGTGAGACATCAATTAACAGAAGGGCAATTATTGCAGAATGGCAGTTAGCATCCGGCAAAAGTCTGGACTTTCACTAATTTTTGAAAATATGGTCGTGTCTTTGCACACCAGAGTACGAATCAGGCGACTAAGAAGAGGTAAACTACACAAATCAAACTCAATAAGGCAAAAAAATTATCCTGACTATGAGAAATCTCAGACACTACTTCAAAAGGTCGCTTAATCTAAATCACCACAAGTCTAATTTTTAGTTATGGATAAACTTACATTCAGAAAGCATGCAAGGATAATAATACTATAACAGATAAAAAAAACATACTGAATCAGGTCAGATTGAATGGTCTAACTTACTTATATCGGATCCTGCAACATTACGGTTGCCCGGATTTGTACTGTAACATGTACATACCCAAAGACAACCTAATCTCAATCACAACCCCTAGAAAAGCACCACTACATATTAAAAACCCTGGCTAAGCCTCACACTAAGTAGTTACAAAAAGGGTGAGATGTATACTGCATATACTGAATGGATTACGCCAGCCACTGGAGTTCATGGTAGATCCAACCATTATCGTTTGCACCAATTTACATTAGAGAGAAGCATATTCTCAATACTCAGAACGAAGATGAACCAACTGATAACTCTATCCTGATAGCCTCGGCTAAATGTGGTGATCTACTGGGTATGACTCTTAAAATGCAAACACACTTGCATAAGCAATGACAATAGGTTGAAGGAAGGAAATACATGGCAAGTAGGAAAATAACCAGGAAGGAGAAGAAGAGAACATAATCTACGTGGAATTCCACTATAGGAAAAAAGGTCAACCTCTGACCTGACCTCTTCTTCGTGTTCTCTCAACAGAAATTGCAACTCAGAATATGTCCCAAACTCGAGATTATATATAAACCAATGGAATCTGAAGACAGAAAAGGTAAAAAAGACAAGCTCTGTATCTTGAATTTGGAATTGAAATGCATACCATATTATACAATCCATGTCTCTGATGGCAATAATGTGTAGGAGCTTTCCACCCAAAAAAAGATAAACTGCAGTTATGCTAGTAGAGCAATGAAATATAAGGAGAGTAATTCCAGAAGTAGACATAAGATCATACTTAACCATTTTGACTGTTTGAGCAAATTCCAAATATAAAAGTTTACTCATTATATGTTATCTAGCTAGATAAAGCAACATCGGAAGACGGAGAAGAGGAAGAGTGCATTACCTTTCTGTGGTTTCTTCAGAGTTACAGATTAGCTGAAAGATCCATCATACATCAGCCGATCGATCCCACCATGGTGCATCTTTTCCCCAATGGCAAATCATGCATCCACTGATCTAATATCTTTGATTCGAAATTTTAGTTGCATTCCTCAGACCCGGTCTCACAGAAAATATCCATATGCTTGGAAATGAAACCAACGATGGAGAATTAGTACTCAACCCAAGTTAAGCAAGCAAAATTTGTATATTCCAACATAGAATATGAGAGACAATAAGGAGTGGAAGTGTTGACCTGCAAGGGGCGAATTATGTATGGGTGGCATAGAGAAGGAGCAGAGAAGACCGGCATTGGCTCTGGCCCTTATGATTGAATCAAAAATTGTGCTTCCCTCTTGAAATAGTGGTTACTCCAGTGACAGATGGGGAAAACATAATCTCATTTTCCTTCATTGTACGACAATTGCTCTTCCTTCCTGAAAGGAAAGGGATATTTCATGAGTGATGGAATCAACAAAGAGTAGACTGGTCGAAAGAGGCACACACGGAACAAAAGAGATAATGCCTACATTGATGCTTTCCCATCTCCTTAACAAAGCAAAAAGGATATGCAAGTATTCAATTAATTGAGCAAAATTCAGAAAATAGAGGCTATAGAATCCAAACCCACCAAATAGATTGTATGTGTTAACTTTACAACTCTAAAATCAATCCAAGTCTCACGTAAACCAGTGTATAGAATGACCGATCTGTGAAACATCTGGATGTAAAACCACTATGATTATGATGTTATAAGACAAAAAAAAAAAAAGCTAGCGAGGGTAATAAGGAATGTCATAAAGGCCACACATAAAAATAGATCAATGTTGATATACCAAGGTTCAGAGCTTCGAGCATTTCTATCCAAGTCATTTCCAACACATATGTCAATAGAGCAAGCATGATGCGAGGTAGAACTGTACCTATGACACTAAACTATATGACTCAAAAGCTTTTCTTAAGCTTTAATCTGTTGGATGGTATCGAGCTATGACCAAATACTGATTCTACTACTTAAAAGAAAGAGGTATCAGACGACGGTATATTTAGGAAAGCTGGGGTAAATGAATTGAGTTAACAAATTATGATAGTTTCTGTAAGTCCCTAAAAGGGAAAGAGCGGGGCTGAAAATACTCTCTAAGGATTTGCAATTAAATAAAATTGAACTCACAGGCGCAGAGCAAGAACAATCACCTGAAACCAAATAGCAAATCTGTACGTAAAAGTCCATCTTCTCTAAACCAAGAATATTTTTCCAAGTGATAAACTACAAACTTCATACATTAAGACATCAATCAAATACATAGAGTCATCTAGACCTCCGATGAATGTGAAAATGAAGACACATTTACTGTCCATAAGCGCAAGTTTACATCATTAGTTCTAAATGTATTCAATGCAAATGCATAAAGGCTATAGCGATGGAGATCGAAGCAGATTCCAAAAAATTGCAGATTCTCAACAATAACGATTCAGCATCGGACATATAATAAACACAAAGCAATTTTCCTAACTATTGTTCCACAATTGCAGGTTCTCGTAACCACGTTGTTTAGGATGCATCTTACAAACACTTGAATCTGAAAATCAACAAGAGAACAAAAGTTTCAAAAAAGAAATCAGATTATTATCGATGCCTACAGGGGTTACCTCTAATCTGTTGTGCAACACTCCAATATGCAAGCACACAAATAAAATGCAGAACAAATTTGTAATGATCAAGTGGATCATCATTCTAAATAAAAATGATGTCCAATGAAACTCTTCATTATGATTGGATTCGAGAGTGTCGATTGGGAACATATCTTTTATGGTAGGAGTATTTATGAACAATAGTACCAAACTATTTTCACTCAAGAGCTACTCATAAAACTGAGCATAGACCTAATTGCCCACAAATTGGAAACTACAGAGGGTAGAAGAATGAATTACATGTACCTGTCGATCCCCTAGTCAACCTTCCTTCACTCTGCTGATCACGACATATTCCCTCTTCGAGTCTGCTGTTGAGCTGCAGTATGGAATGGGTTCACTTCCCCCATCAGCAATGGTGACTTCTTTCTCTTGCCCTGGGTCTGGGTGAAAGCAATAAAAAAAACATATAAGAATCATATCAAAGAAAGGTCAATTCCAGAATATAAACAGAACCGAACCCCAAAAAGAAGAAGCTTACCTAATTGCCTCTGATGCCTTTGGAAATCTACATTGACGACAACTCCCCCCTTATCCTTCTCTTGTCCAAACTAAAAAATCCAAAGAGAAAAGTCTGATTAGTTTAGTAGGAATCGATGAGAAAAAAATCGAAACATACAAAAATCAGAAAAGAAACAAATCCACATTAAAAACTTACCTTGCACACTGTTGATAGTTGTCCCACCGGTAGCAGCAGGCTATGTTTCCTCTAGCGGCAAGAGAAGGATCTCATTATGCAGCAAACACAGCAGAGTAAACTACATGCAAATATCCATTATGCGACAAACATTTAGCAACTGAAAACTGTAGCTCTTAACCGATAGAAATAGGCTTGAAAAATGTCTCGTTACTGAAGATTTAACACTTCGCACAAGTCAATCATGGGCTTAAATGGCAGATTAAAGGGAACGATTCAAACCTTTGGAGTTCCTCAAGGCATTAAGAATGATCATGTTGGTGTTGTTGGCAAATAAATTATATTATGACCAGTATAGCAACTTCCTCTTTCTTGCGGGCAAAAAAACTGAAGCAAGAGCAGCAAGATTGGAAGTTAAAGTACCTCCATCCCACTACAATTTACTGCAGGTTTGATGAAGCATAGTTCCTGGAGAAATGCAATGAAAAAGTTAAATATCTCCATCCCACTACAATCTAAAAGGCTAGAAACCCATGCTACCATCATATCAGACGCTGCAGAACTTTATATAACAGGCTTTAACAGAATCTGAAAGGCTAAAAACCAATGGTAACATACTGCAGAGTCCTGTACAGCTGGACCTTACTCGAAGTCGTAAGCTGTAGCCTGAACAAAGTGGATGATATGATAGCTACGAAAGGGCAGTAACGAAAAAGCCCACGCAATGATAGGTAGGTAGTAGTGAGACAGTGGTAAGATATAAAGAACAATTATATCAGCGAAATTAGGACAATGAAACGGGAAAGAACAAAGAAAACACCATTCGTGAAATATGAAAGATAAATCTGCAAACCACATGATGCAGCTAGCACAAAGGAACAAAATACAACCTTAAAACCAATATCTGGAACATATAGGGCAGAGGATAAATTTTGAAACATACAATTTCCAGTCTCTGTGTTCATTACATGCAGGTTAGAATAGAAGATAATCCCAGAACTGACCATGTTGATATCATCATCAATTTGATTCATTGAAGTACTGAAGTTTGTTCGATCAATCGGTTTGATTGTTTTTCCCAGTAACTACTTTTCGTTTCCAGTACTATAAAGTAAAAAGTTCCATATTTACCTAAGCAAAAGTTTACAATTTTTGGACACCTTCTGCAGCAAAAAATATAATCGGCAAGAAAATCAATTCAGGATTTTGTCAACGTTATAACAGAGAACTTGATAAGATCCTTTTTTAATCCCTTTTGAATCCTTCTAACATCAATGATATCACCAATGCTCATCCGATAGATTTCATGCTTGTTCCACCATAATCAAATTCCAGGTAAGCTTGAGTTCAATTACCACGAATGACAGACTTCTTTAGATAGACCTATATTTATTTGAGGTGAATCAAATCAATGGCAAAAGGAAAATCAAGGAATAACGATTAGGAGGAGGGAAGCTCACATCTTACATGTGAGGGCGGACCGTACAAATGCTGGTTAAAATGGGGTAACATTCTCATATCAATCTGTTGTTCTTATATCCTGCAGGAAAACAAAGCGAGTTGGTTCAACAGCAAAAAAAAGGCGACTCAGTTGGTGGTTGCATTAGGTGAAATCATATGTATATACACACCTGGGGATTGAGGGATTGGAGTAGTTTGACATATAGAAGTGGAGCACCATTCACGAAGATAGCTTGCCTAGCAGATTCTAGCAAGGTGATTTTTCTCCCACTTGGTCAAGGATTCATGAGGAGATCCAAGATCTCTGATGCACCATGTCACAATTATTATGGTGGACCCTGGTGGTGCAACTTCAGGCAACTCACCCAAAAACTGCGAAAACAAATTCCAGTTCCCATATAAATGTCGAGATTTCCCCAACTGAAATTATGAACTGGTTGACCCTAAGAATGCATCATTAAGTGTCGAAAAGGAAACAAAGACCTTGGCTTTATCATACATATGATCTCCACTCTCCATGGACCAAACCAGATCAAAAGCCCCATCTGTGAATGGCTGATCCAAAGCATTCCAACTTGGAAGAATGGTTGCTTATTTAATTTCCTACAAAAACCAACCACTCATCAAACTCTCACCATCTTCCACAACAACATTGGTCCAAAGCGGTATGTACCATAGGGTTCGATTTTGGAGGTAGAAGAAGTTGACCTGGTCAGCTATATCTTGAGCACCTCCAAGAGCATCGACTCTTTGACAGTGCTCCCCTGTCACTTGTATCCATATTCCTGGCTAAGTAGCCTACATCCACCACGTTCTTTGCCCTCTACTCTGCCACAAAATCAAACAATCAGGAAAAACTCACATTTTGAATTCAGCTAAACTACTTACCGAATACAATAAACCAATCAAGATGAACCGTAAAGTTAGAGAGAGAGAGAGAGAGAGAGAGAGAGAGAGAACCTGGGGAAATACCTGGTCCTGCTCGATGGTTCTATCATCTATGAGATTCCAACTTCCCAACATCAAATTGTTTCTCCATCACTTCCCCTAATATATAATAACACACAATAGTTAACAAAAATGTTATTTTCAGTTGTGTTTATTTTAAATACGTTGAAACCCACAACAACCACAAATGATAATTAACACCAAACGGTCCAAACCCACAATTATAATAAAATGAACG